CTCTGTCCGTCTGTCTGTCTGTCTGTCTGTCTGCCTGTCTATCTGTCTGTCTGTCTATCTGTCTGTCTGTCTATCTGTCTGTCTATCTAACGATCTTTCTATCTAGCCCAGTACAAGATAACAAGACATACTTTCCTACACCAGTAACCTACTCATGCTCTAACATACAAGCAATGAAACGTCCGCTTACAATAAGATGATTAAGCCGATTAGACGGTTGGGTGGGGAGGTTCTTGTTTTATTTTGTTAGTCGTTATACATGTGCATACATGTACATATATACACATGCCGTTCAATTTCAAGTGGTTTCTTTTACATGTACATGTGTACATGTATTTTGTTCTGTTTGTTTAAAATGCCTGCTCCTGTTTTTAGATAACTTATTTGTTAGTTCTACACATTTGTTTCTTTATCTGTAGATTTCTACAACTTGTTTTTTGAGGGTTGTTTTGTTTTGTTTCGTACAACTTTTGTCTCCCTGTCTGTAGAATATGTTTGTTTGGTTATTTGTTTGTTTGTTTGTTTACAACACCTGTTGTCTCCTTGTCTGTTTAGTTGTTTCTCTGTCTGTAGAGATAACTTAATTTGTTTGTTTCTTTATTATACATGTAGTATGTAGCTGTTATCTTCCTGTCTAGTCTGTAGATAACTTGTTTGTTTGTTTATTTGTTTTTTAGTTTACTACAGCTGTTTTCTATCTGTCTGTAGATAACTTGTTTGTATGTTTGTTTACTACAGCTGTTCTCTCCCTGTCTGTTCAGCTGTTACAGAGGCTCCTCCACAGCGACTGGCACTACCTACCAAGCTATAAAAAGAACGCCATCTTCCTCACCTCTCACGTACACCCTGTGGTCAAGGTCACGAGCCATAACCCTGCCCCCTCACGCTGTGGACAAAGCTCCCCCTTCTCCCTGATCCATCCCCCTGTTTTCCGACCCACAACAGACAAAAAACTACGAAAGCACCACTCGGCCCCTCGTCTAGAGCTCCGTCCCCTCTCATCAGTCACCCCAAGCCCCGCCCCTCTCAGAGACACTAGCTCCGCCCATTTCTCTTTGAACACTCCGAGAAGTGTCCACTGGCATCCGGTTGCTATCCAAAAGTCTACAAAATCAGAACAACTTTTGCATTCCAGGTATGTACCATACGGATTGGGGGGGG